TTGATTCTCCAATTATTTCCCTACAGTTATTTCACTAGGCACTGATAATTTCAAACCAAGATGCTTCTTCATACTATTTCTTTTCTCTATTTAGGGTAGGTAGCACTTCTCTATATCAATATTTGATTTGTATGATTACCGATACATGCCGCTTCTTCTTACACTTTTTAACTCATTCTCCTTGAACTAGTATGTCTTTTATTGGGTTAAGAAAAAGATTGAAAAATAATCAAGTAATAACAAAGTTGGCTTTGAATGGATCTAATCACCCCCAAACTTATTTCTCATTGAATTTTCATATGGTTCTATCTGGGGTCATTATTGAAATAACATTTTTTTATAGTTTAAAAAAATTCTAAGGCAGCTAACTTATACAACTCAACTCATAGTTAACTAAAAGTGTAATCAAGAATGAGTATGTGTTCAAATTGTTTAAAAGCTAAGTATAAAATGATGGAATTCATAAATAATCAAAAGTTGGAGTGTCAGCACGAAGCGATTCAAATTTTATCATAGATAGGCACAATATCATAGTTGTAAATGAATCACTTTGTTTGTGTTAAGTTAAAACACAATTATGTAGATATTAACACGAAAATAAATTACTATCATTTTCAAAAGGCATAAGCAAAAAGTGTAAGACATACACTCCCATGCAAAACACGGATTAAGTTATGAGAAAACCACATAATAGCATATTCTATCCCCAAACTAAATTTTTACATTGTATCCAATGTGAACAATAAAAGTAAAAACAAAAGAGTTTACTAGACTTCCATGGAGTGGAGTTGTAGTTTAGCTAGCACTTTTATCCATCTGTGGAATGTAGTGGTGGGTCTTGAGGTTGGTTGAGGTATCATGGAGCATCAATATTTCTTCTTGATTGCGACACTGTCGTTCATCCATAGTACACATGGTAGCATTCTATGTATTGAGAGTGAGATTGATATCATCATGTCCATCCTGCAACTGTCTAATTTCTCTAACGGATAATTAGGTCCACTGTCCTCCAAATCTAACAAATTAGAATAATACTCCTAAAACTAATTAAAATCTTTACCCCGTAATCAATACGCTCAAAACCTCCTCCCAAACCCCAAAAACATTAGAAATGCCCAAATCAGAACTCAGGAATCCAATCAAAACTACCACCACCAGATCTCCAT